CTTCCGGTCTTCCTTATTGACTTCCTTATTAACTTCATCGTGCCAGGGGCAGAGGCTCTGTCTAATTGTTCCATCTTCCCTACTCTACCCCTTTTCTTTCTCCAGGTAAAGATAACAATGGCTCCCCGGGCTGCTTCCTCTCTTCATTGCTGGCCTGGCCCTGTGGATCCTCCTAATCTCCTCTTCTATATTTAGTCATTCCTATCTCCTGTCTGCTGGCACACAGAGCTCCTTCCGTCTCATCTGAGGAAGCTGTGACTCTATGTCCCCTTGTCAAGTTTCCCAACACTGAGACAAATCCCAAGATAACCAGGACCTTCCCACCTGCAGCCCATCATGGTGCTTCTTGTTCCGGTCCCACACAAACACTTCTTCCCATAATGCCCTGGGAGCCCATTTAACCAATGAAAAGAGCTGGAGTGGCTCATTTGTATACCATCAAACAAGCATATGGGAGGAGACACAGCAAGAGCCCCATACTATCAAAACCATCCTCCTAGAGGACTCCACTGGTCTCTTGTTACGGACCCTCTCTTCTGAGAGTCTTGCTACTTTCCTTTCATTTTCAAAAAAGCTTGCTCTGTTTTTAAATAAACAGCAGAAAAAAAGAAAAAAGACTGAAGCTCAGCAATAGAGTGCCTGCCTAGCAAGAGCAAATCCCTGAGTTAAAACCTTAGTACCACACACACACACACACACACACACACACACACACACACACACACACAGTCTCAACATGAAAGACCACCTGGAACAAGAGAGCCTATCCATATTGTGAGTTAAGAACATGATCACAGCCAGGCACTAGTGGTTCATACCTCCTCAGAAGGATGAAATCTGGAGGATCAGAGTAGAAGCAGCAAGCCTAGGCAGAAAAAGTATGGGAGACTCCATCTTCAAAATATCTAGCAGAAAGCAGAGCTTGAAGTATGGCTCAAGTGATAGATCACCAGCCAGTGAGCAAAGTGAACACGTTTGAGACCCTGAATTCAAACTCCTGTATGGCCAACTAAATGAAAGAACTAGAAAATAAAAATTTGATGATAAGTCTTATAAGGCTGGAGAGGAAAGGAAGTATAGACAAATACTTTCTCCCTGGTTAGTGGAAAAACTGCTAAAAATCCAAATAAACGCTGTAGTCTAGTTGTACCAGTGGATTTTCTTTCGGGGGGGGGGGGGGGGGTCCTTTAGGAGGTAGGACCTAGCTAGAGGAACTAGGTCCCGAGAGGGTGTACCCTTAAACAGAAAAGGGATGACTTTCCCCCCTTCCCCCCCTCCTTCCCCTATCCCTCCTTCCTTTCTCTTTATCCTTTCCTCCTTCCTTTCTCTTTATCCTTTCCTCCTTCCTTTCTACTTATCTCCTTCTCCTCTCTCTCCACCTTCCCTTCCCTCCTTTTGGCAGGAGGTGAGTGTCTTGGCTCTACCACATTCCTGTCACATGAAGCTTCATTCACCACGGGGAGGAGGACTGTGCCCTGAACCCATAGATTAGAACCAACAGACCTTTCCCTCCTTGCAAGTTGAGTTTCTCAGATATTCTGTCATGCCAAAGGAAGTCTAACACCAGTTTTATGAATACAAATATTCCAGAATTACAAAAATGTCCAAAATCTGAAACACTTCTGGCCCCAAGCACTGCATATGAAGACCACTCCCTCCACCAACAGCACAGAGCTGCTACATGAAAGAAAACAAGTGTCTGGCAGTTAGAAAACACTACAAAGGGCCAGGGTGTGGCTGGTGGAAGAGCTCTGCCTTGCCCAGGTGACACCCTGGCTTGATCCCCAGTGCCAACACGGACCTCACAGCACTGCTGAGAGTTAGCTTCTGCTATCTTCCTAGGAGTTTATTGTCTCTTTCCAGGGTCCCCGCAGACTCTGGATCAACAACTCCTAGGGTCACACAGGAACTCAGCCTACTCCTACCTTAGGAGCCATCCTGCCCTGTGCCAGACTCATATTCCATGGCTCTCCTAATAGGATGCCACACTTAAGTGAAAACACTGCTGTTCCTTACAGTCTGCTCCTCTTCCAGCCCTGGCTTTGTTTCCCCATGGCGTTCACCTTCTCTGAGAACACACAAACCCTCAGTGGCCTTTCAGACCAGGTCATTACAAGGACAGGACTGAAATAAACCACAAATACTCTGTTTTTCTAAACAGATTTCTTTCACAGCCTCTAATATATACTAACGAATATTTTAAATCTCAAAAAAAAAGTGATGCTAGACAGTTCACAGATTTTGATATCGCTACAGGCCACCTTTCCTGAGCCATAAACATAACTGCCAAAATGATTTCCCAAAAGGATACAAAATTTTTGTAGCTCCCAGTCACGCATTAGTTATATTTAGTGCATCTGTTCTTTAGTTTTATAAATATTTATTAGCTGATGTCAAAGGCAACAAAATAGGGCCTTTGTTATTTCATTATTAGCATACATTGGTTGCAAAGGGGGAGTTTTATTGTGACATTCCCACACATGTATACAACTTCACTCAAAATGGTACCTTTTAATATTTCAATTTCCATAGGACTATTTCAAAGCTTACTTGGTATAAATGAAATGTTTGGTCAATAAATGATAAATGAATAAAAGGCAAAACCTAAGAAAATTGGCTATTTACTTCATTCTGCAGCTCATGAAACTTACCACTCTGTTCTCTTGTCAGTTATCCAAGGATGGCAAGAAAAGAGTGCTGAGTATCTGAACAATTCTTAGTGGAGGGCACAAACACAGAACAGCCCAGGTAAGCCGGGCGCCAGCGGCTCATGCCTAAAATCCTAGCTGCTCAGGAGGCTGAGATCTGAGGATCAAAGTTCAAAGCCAGCCTGGGCAGAAAAATCTGTGGGAGACTTGCATTTCCAATTAAGCACCAAAAAAGCCAGAAGTGGAGCTTTGGCTCAAGTGTTTAACCTTGAGTACTTCACCTTGAGCAAAAAGCTCAGAGACAGCACTCAGGCCCTGAGTTCCAGCCCCAGGACTAGGATACCCTAGGTGGAAGGGCACTGTACCCCCTCCAGCACAATTCCATCCCAACACCATAACACCGTATCTCCTTGGCTTCCGGTCTTTTTCCCCCCTAAAATACAAAGTTAAGCCACGCATGGGAAGACTAAGGAGGCTGGGACAGGAAAATCATGAGTTCAAGGCCAGCTCACTTACATAGGGCTCCAGGCCAGCCTCTGCTACATAAGGAGTTTCTATCTATAAATATACAGACAAACAAATGGGCAGGTAAAAAGAGGATGAGAGCATTTAAAGGGACATGGAGAAGAATATGATCCTTAGAGGGATGACAGTCAAACACACAGCATAAAACAGTAATCATGCCATGCCTCGTACCTCCACCTGTAATCTCAGGAGACTGAGACTGAAGATCGCTGTTCCCAGCCAGCCTGAGCAGGCAAGGCTGAGACTCTTAGCTCCAACAAACTACTCAGAATAAGCCAGAAGTGGTGTGGTGGCTTAAGTGGTAGAATGCTAGCCTTGAACTACAGCTCCAGCATCCAGATCCTCAGTTCAAGCCCCAGGACCAAAAAGAAAAAAAAAGTAGTATCCATTAAAATAAGGAGGGCTGAGAATGTGGCTATCTTGTGGTAGAGTGTCCACCTAGCATGCATGAAGCTCTCAGTACCACATAAACAGAAAAGGCTGGAAGTGGCACTGTGGCTCAAGTAGTAGCGTACTAGCCTTGAACAAAAGAAGCTCAGGGACAGTGCCAAGGCCCTGAGTTCAAGCCCCAGGATTGGCAAAATAATAATAATAATAATAATAATAATAATGAGGACGTGATTATAGAATTTTAAGGAAGGCTCCTACTTTTTGCTTCCCACCATTGATGAGAGGTTGGGGGGACATCCTAGACAAGGGTTTGTGATGTTCTTATCATTAACCAGCTACATCACAGATCCCTGGCTTTGGACTAGAGAAAGAAGCAGCTGAGAAAGTATCATCCACAGAGGGGAAGACTGGAATTGGAGGTCAGTGCGATCAGAGGCTCAACCCTGTCAAACACAGCCTAAACCTGGGGTATCTGTTCACTCAGCAATGATCAGAATCAGTGGCTGATATACAAATGACCGACCTTGTGGACCACAGTCAGAGAGGTGAATGGAAAAGATGCTCAGCCATCCTCAAGAAGCAGCAGCCAACAGAAGCCTGACCAGAGACCCGGATCACAACACAATCACAGTGTACACAAACACAGTGCTCTACACTGAACAACACCCCCCCCCCAAAAAATACTAGCAGCAGCAGCAGAAGGGGGGAAAAGAAGTCATCTTATAGCGCAGAAACCCATCAACACATATTCCCAGCAGGTGTCCAAGGTCAATATCGGCAGTCAGAAGTCACACTGACAGTACAGCCCAGAGCAACGGCACCTGTCCCAGACACAGCACCCAGCCTCACCAGCAGACAAACCCGAGACATAGTCACACAATCCCTGACCATAAACAATCCCTGCTCAAAACTGCCAGTCATCGGGGCTGGGAAGGTGGCTCAGTGGTAGAGCGCTTGCCTTGCATGCATGAGGCCCTGGGTTCGATTCCTCAGCACCAAATAAGCAAAAAGAAAAAAGCCAGAAGTGGTGCTGTGGCTCAAGTGGTAGAGTGCTAGCCTTGAGCTGAGGAACTGAGGGGCAGCGCCCAAGCCCAGAGTTCAGGCCCCACGATCAGATCCAAAAAAAAAAAAAAACAAAAAACTGCCAGTCATCAAAACAGAGGAGCCTGAGGAAATCTAGATAAAACATGGTCTTTAATTTTATTTTTTTTTTTCAGAAGAAAGGATGTCCCAGTACCCAATGTCCCCTTGAGTCTCGGAGGTTTAGGGGGCTGAAAGGTGACCCTGAGCTCCTGGGACAGTGCAGGAGTCTCCTCCACCTGCAGGCTGCTGCAGGGTCCTTGGCTCACGGTGCTGACCCTGTTTCTTGTCATCTTGGAGTAGAGCTCACCACCCCAACCTTTTCTGAGCCAACTCCTTGGCAGGTCTCAGGTGTGTCAGATCTGGCCGCACACCTGTGCAGGTGGGGGCAAGGTCTGGAATTGGAGGTGCAGAGGGCTGTGTTTCAGGGCTGCCTCTGTCCCAGATCCTCCACATCTCAGCTGGAGTGCGCCTAGCTGCGGCCATCTGGGCTTCTGTCTTTGGGGAGCTGCCCTGTCTCCAGGAAAAGCCAGAGGTTGCTGCATTTCTGGGTCTCCACTCTTGTCACCCCATAACTTGCCACAGAACCAACAACTGCGAGCAAAGTGAGCACGCCCTTCACAAAGGCGTGGGACTGGCACGCGGCGTACTCCCGGAGCCCCGGGTGCCTGGCGGCCACGGCGTCATCCACACGGGACAGGCCCAGGTTCACCATGGTGGGCGAACGGGGGAGCCGGCGCGGGGCGGAGCCGGGCTCTTTAATTTTATTTAAACAAGATGGAAATGATGAATAGCCCGAAAGAACGGGACAGTCTGAAAACGCAAGGAATAGAGTTAGGATGAGCAGGGTTATAAAATATAATCCTTAGGCAGGCACTGGGGGACTCAAACCTATAATCCTAGCTACTCAGGAGGCTGATATCTGAGGATCATGATTCAAAGCCAGCCTAGTCAGCAAAGTCCATGAGACCCTTATTTCCAATTAACCACTAGAAAACCAGAAGCAGCCCCCAGGCCCTGAGTTCAAGTGCCACAACTGACTCTCCCCCCAACTCCCCCCAAAAAGCAATAACAACAAACTGCAATCCTTTTATTTACAACTAAAATTGGCAAGAAATCATTTCTGCACAGTATATGCAGGGGAGGATTGCGATGGTGTAGCTCCCTCAAACAACTTACTCATAGTTTAACAAAACGAATACCAGGAAGCTGGAACAAGTGTTGCGGGGAATAGGGAGGGCAGATAGATTGAGGAAAGGTGGACGAATACAGTCATAATATTCAATGTGCAAATGTGAAAATGGAAGCAGGTAGTTCAACTTAAGGGGATGGGTAGGGTTAGGAGAGATGAGGGATAAGGATGGAAGGGTAACAATGTATCCTGATACACATTGCACTTATAAGTTGGTATGCTGAACTGTAACCCCTTTGTACAACTGCTTAAAGATAATTTAAAAAAAAAAACAACTTACTCATTGCTGCCATGTTCAAGTAAGAGCTCTTTATATGCGGAGATTAATTTTCCATATTATCCTCTTACCATAAGCGCCCTCAAGGCCAGTCTAAGCAAGGTCAGACTAATCAAATGACTTAGCAACTTTTAAGGTGAACAAAAAAAGAATTTTCAAGTTCACACTCTCTATGCTTTCCGCATAGAAAACGATTGAGAAGCTCCCCAATAACAAAACTAGCTCAGGCAGAAAAGTCCGTGCAAGTCCATCTCTAAAATAACCAGAAAAATGCTGGGCAGGAGATCCAGCTCTCAAGTATTAGGCATCAGCTGAGCAAACAAGCTGAGAAAGAGCTAGAGACCCTGAGTTCAAACCTCAGTACTGGTTGTTAAAAAACATTATCTGAACTACATATATTTAATTTTTTATGAAACACAAAATTATAAAAGAAAAAAATGAAAATTCCACCTATTACTAAGTGAAAACATGAAGAACCAAAAGAAAAAGTGTTGAACTGTCCTAGCACAGGTTGAGTATTTCTTAGAAACCTCTATCAGGCAATTTTATAAATGCATACCATCTCCAAGGCTTAGACTTGAGATGTGACCTTCACCTCATGCAATGGTTACTTCCCTTCACAGAGGTTCCCCTGCAATTTGTGTTGATTCTTAGAATACCTATATGCAGGGACCTGAACAATGATCCAAATAATGAGCTACCATGCAGCCATTTCAAACACCATCCGGCTCTGAGAATGCAGCTCAGTGCTTACTTAGAGTGTACAATGCCCTGCTTCTATCCACAACGTTGCAAAAAGGGACAAAACAGCAACAAAAACCCATCAGCAGAATTCACCATCTTTTCCTGGCACCAGCCTCCTTCCTATGTGATCAGCTTCTCAAAGTAAAAATTGCACCTCCCATTCTGTGTTTTTGCCACACTCTGGGCATTTCACTGGCAAAATGCTGGTTTACATGTGCCCTCCCCCCCTCCCCCCCCACCCACTGTCCCCTCCTCCACTCCACCCCACGCCCAGCCCCAGCCCTGGACCAAACTCAGAGCTTTGCAAGCACTTGCCTGGTAAGTGCTCTTCTATTGAGCCAAATTCCCATGCATGTGCGGTCTGTCTAAGTTCCATCTCACCTCACAGAGGAACCATGTTATCAACACCCAGAGAAATTCCCACTCTGATTCTCCATCATCTCACTGAAAACAGACAGATCGATCTTCAAACCTCATTTCAATCCTGTCACTCTCCCAATTAAAAACCCTTGAACTCTCTTCCAAACTAAGTTCAAATTCGCTGGACTCCAACCTGAGCCCTTAACCCAGCAGGTTTGCGTGTCTCAGCATTCTCGCCCTTCCTTGCTGGTTCTTGCTTTGCTTGACCTTGAAAATACACACATGCATGCACGCACATACGCACTTGTCCACACACACTTCCATCAATCTAGTCTCCATAACCCACTCCTCCTCCTCAACTTCTTTGTGTGTGTGGGGGAGGGGGGGATGTAAGTGTGCACGCATGCATGTGAATATGCTAATGATAGGGCTTGAACTTAGGACCTTGTTCTCTCATTCAGCTTTCTTTTCTTTTTTTTTTAATCAGTCTCAGAGCTTGAACTCTGGGCCTGGGCGCTGTCCCCTCAGCTCTTCAACTCAAGGAGAGTGCACTACCACTTGAGCCACAGTGCCACTTCCGGTTTTCTGGTGGTTTATTGGAGATAAGAGTTTCACAGACTTTCCTGCCCAGGCTGGCTTTGAACCATGATCCTCAGATCTCAGCCTCCTAAGTAGCTAGGATTACAGGCGTGAGCCACTGATGCCTAGCTTTTCATTCAGCTTTTTTGGTGCACAGATAGTGCTCTACCACCCAAACCTCCTGTCCAACATTCTGGTGGTTAATTGACTGAGAACCAGGATTATAGGCATGAGCTACCAGTACCAGGTTCCATTCCCAACTTCTAACGACAGCAGCCTTTTCAGGGCTGTTCAGTAAACAGAGCAGCATGTGAAAAATGTGCAGTGCGCACACACTAAAATTCTATTTTCTTCCTCTGCTAGTTGTAATAAGACATCGCCATTTTGAGAAGCAGTGGTGAAGGAATTGGGAGGGTGACATGTCAGCAGTAGCAGGGAAACGGGCTGAAGGCACTCACTTCCAAATGGGCAGCTTTCTCCCAATGTGCACCTGCCTCTTGTCTACCGTAAGTATCCATCATTGGGAGGGCCTCTGGAGGTCACATATGGAAAAGAGGCACCATTTTCTCTTAGAATGCAGTAAACTCTCATCAATCTCAAGCACATTACCTCAGAGTCCCGCTCCAAGGCTCTAGTCAGTGTCTTCAAGATCAGCTTTATTCTGGGAAGAGTTGTGATGTCATCACACACACACAGCCTCATTAACCCTGCCCAGCCTGTACCTGGACCCCACGCTCACACTGACACCTGGCTGCAGAGCACAGGATGGCTGGGAGGAGGCAGCACATACCATGGGTCTCTCAGCACAGTGTCTTCCATACTGAGATTTTCACATGGGGATGGCTACCCAGGAGCATTGTGGATGGAATCCAAGACTGTCTTTTCCTTCCCTCCAGATATCCTACAAAGATGACATTAAATATGTTTTTAAGGTACAAACAAAGCCAGGGCTGGGTGCCACTATCTAACATCTATAATCCTAGCTATTCAGGAGGCTGAGATGTGAGGATTATGGTTCAAAGCCAGCCCAAGCAGGAAAACCCTTGAGACTCATCTCCAATTAACTACCAAATAAAGACATAAGTGGCTCAAGTGGCAGAGTGCTAGCCTTGAGCAAAACCTCAGGGATGCCAGGCACTGGTAGCTCATGCCTGTGATCCTAACTAATCAGGAGACTGAGATCTGAGGATCAAAGTTCAAAGCCAGCCTGGGCAGGGAAGTCTGTGAGCCTCTTTCCAGAAAACCAGAAGTAGAGCTCAAAGTGGTAGTGCACTAGCCTGGAGCAGGGACAGTGCCCAGGGTCCAAGTTCAAGCCCCAACAACAACAACAAAAAAAGCACATAAAAAAAAAAACACCTCAGGGACAGCACTCAGACCCTGAGTTCAAGTCCCAGGACTAGCACAAAAATAAAGTAAAATGATATAAACAAGCAAATGAGGCTATAGTATTATATATAGCTCAGTGGCAGCATGCATGAGCCCTAGGTTTTGCCCCAGCACTGAAAAAATAAAGTAAAATCTACTTTGGCACTCTGTCTCTGTCTCTCTCCCTCTCCGCACCCGGCACCCCTGCCCCTCTGTTCCCCACCTCTCTCAAGATTAGTGGCTGCTTAGGACAAGGGATTTGGAAAAACACCAAAGGAGCCCAAAGTATATAGTATTAGTGGGGGGGCAGGGGGGGGGGGGGGGAGGAAGATTATCTTGTTTTTTTTTGATACTGGGTACTGAACCTGGCCTTCGCTTCCCAAGTAGCTGAGATTATAGATATACACTGCTATGCCTGGCTCATTAAGCGGGGTTCTTCAGCCAGGCACTGATGGCTCACACCTATAATCCTAGCTACTAAGGAGGCTGAGATCTGAGGATCACAGTTCAAAGCCAGCCCAGGCAGGAATGTCCATGAGACTCTTATCGCCAATTAACCATGGAAAACCAGAAGTGGCTCAAGTGGTAGAGCATTAGCCTTGAGCTGAAGAGCTGAGGGACAGTGCCCAGGCCCAGAGTTCAAGGCCTACAACCAATTTTAAAAAAAAAAAAAAAAAAAGAGGGGCTCTTCATGAAGTGAAAAGAAGACCTAAAATTGACTGAGGTGATGGTGAAGATGTAATTACTATCGAATGATACACTGTCAATAGTTGAGCTGTGTGGCACATAAATTGTATCTCAGTAGCTATTACCAAAATACAGTCTAGACACTCAAGGTCAGGGCTGTCAGGACCAAGTCAAAGCCAAGGTAAGAGTGAGGGCAGTCTGGGGAAAGAAGAGGTCAGGGAGGGTAGCTATATCCTGGGTGGAGACACTCCACATAGAGGTGTGTGAAGGCTGCCATTCAGAGGGAAGATGCCCAGTGCTAGCATGTCCCACACAGGGATGATGGGGCCTCTGTCCTCAGAGGAGAGCCAAGTAGAAAGAAGTGGGTGGATCTGACATCAGGGCTACATGGAAGGAATCCAAACAGCAGCACCTTTCCCAAAGGGAGCGGGGAACAAGGGACTTCTCAAGGTCACCCAGGCTGAGAGGCCTCACAGTAAAGCTGAGAGAGGGAGGAGGTGGGGCTGAGAACCAGTTCTCCCCTTTCCTGCCCGTA